AGAAAGTTGATGATACTGAGCTGCGGTATGCATTTGACACACCAGAGAGTTGGGATGCTATCCAGAAGGCCCCAGACAGGCTTGAGCAGTAGATACAGGTAGATCTCATAAGGTTCACCATGTCTAAGTATAAGATGTTGCAGCTGAGTTGAGGCAACCTTCATTACTAATACAAACTGGGAGATCAAAGGGTTAAGTGTAGCCTTGCCTGAAAAGACCTGGGGGTACTTACTGATGGAGGGCAAGCTGGACATGAGCCAGCGCTGTGCCCTCGCAGCCTTAAAGGCAGCTGTATCCTGGCCTGCATCAAAAGAAGTGTGGCCAGCAAGTCAAGGGAGGCCATCCCATCCCTATGTTCTGTATTGGTGTGGCTCACCTGGAGTGCTATGTCCAGATGAGGAGTCCTCAGAACAACCAAGATACAAACTGTAGGAGCATGTCTAGAGGAAGGCCACAAAAATGATCCCCGGAATCGAATGCTGCACTTAGGACAGGCTTTTTAGCCTGGGGAAGAGAAGGCTGTGAGGTGATCTGAGAACAGCCTATCGGTATCTAAAGGGGAGCTCCAGAGAAAGAAGGGGACAGTCTCTGTAGCAGGGTCTGTTGTGATCAAACAAGGGGAAATGGTGTTAAGTATGAAGAGGATAGATTCAGGTTAGATATAAAGAAAGTCTTTTACAATGAGGGTGGTGAGGCACTGGAACAGGTTACCCAATGATGCTGTTGATGCCTCATCCCCAGAGACTTTCAAGGTGAAGCTGGATAAGGCCCTGGGCAACCTGATCTAGCTGTGGTGTCCCTGTTCACTGCTGGGAGGCTGGGTTAGCTGGCCTTCGGAGCTCACTTCCAACTCAAAAGATTCTATGATGTTTTACAGCATTCCCAAATCTACGGTAATTTCCCTGGTTACAAATACCCACAGTCATGAACTACTACGTTTTGGCATCTGTTCTACCACATCTCTCTGTAAAGAGAGGAGAGCTCCAGCTATGGTAGCTTTGGGCATAGTAGCTTGTGTAATGAGAGTTCTTTGATTGCTTGCTTCAGGCAGTTTAATTCTAGACTACAAACACTGTGGACTGATATCAGAACTTTTTGTTTATTAGTTTCTAGTAAACCTGTTACTGCTCTTCTCTGCATTTAGAGCTACATGCTCCTGTTATTCTTCTTGGACAGTCACCTACTGCCTAAATTATGTTCCTGTGCTGAAATATTATCAATAAATTTAACATGATTTTTTTCTCCTCACATTTTTTTAGATTACATAAATTTTAGCTAAGCAATTCTTTTCGTGCTGAAATATATTACAGAATGTCATTTCTGTTATAAGAGCTAATTGATAATGTGATTTGTTATGTTGCTGAGACATAATTCAGAAAGTTATTTTAAAGCCGTTGATGCATGGAATAGCACTATCCTTTTAATATTTCTTGTACGCATGGATACTGCATAAGGGAATGATGTGGTGCCATGTAGATGAAATATTTTCAGAAGCTTTTATTCTTGTTGTTTGGGCTTGTGCCAATGTCTTTCTTGTCAAGAGCTCATACACCATGAGCTGTCTCATTTAATTTATGCTTGCTCATTAGGTGGCAGGAATTTTTCCTCCAAGTTGTGGAAAAATGTATTTTAATTTTTAAAAGCTCACAGTGAAATATTTGTGAGCATTCTCTAGAATGCTCCTTCCAAATGCTAAAACATATTTTTATCAAGATTATTTATACAGTACTATTACTAGGACTTGTCTTTCTGAATGTGCTATTTGTATGAATGATTTAACAGAATCAAATCAGTATTTCATCATGGCTGTTTCCACTACGGTTGCTAGGGGTTACTCCTCCTACACAGTATTGGATGAAATCAACAGTCTTTGTGCAGTTTTTGTATTTGGAGGTAGGATTTTTGGTCCATTTATTGCATATTCAGTGTTAGAGAACAAGAACCTTCAGAATTACACTTCTTATGATTACGCTATAATTTAGTTTTTCAAATCCACTGAAGGCAAGGAGCCTCCTGGGAGTCCAACATCTTAGGTTTCTGCAACACAAACACACCTCTGTTTCTAACTGTTGAGCCACGCACTCAAAAGATTTATTTGGCTTTCTTTGCTGTCATCTGCTGACTCACTCTATGGGGGTTAAAAAAAAAACAAACAAACTTGCTATTGTCAGTCCAGTTTGCTATGAGATGGTCTCACAATTTTTTTTTCAGTTTTGAATCTTAGCTTCAACAAAGATGACATTTACCCAGACCTCTGCACAGTCTGTTTGAAATATGACACAGTCATCGTTCCATGAGCACAGAATGTATCTGAGAATCTCTCTATTTTCCTTCCCGATCTATCCCATGATTTGAGAATCTCCTTGACTAGTGGTTGACTTCTAATTCTCACCTGATGGCGAAGTAACTGCACTATAAATTGTTTCTGTCTGTTCTTGTGAATACAACCTAAACTATCTCTCATGTGCCATTTCTTGGAGCTGGGTAGGTTAGCTCTAAAATTCTAGAGTGAAAACTGTTGTGCTTTGGCAAATGCTTTAAAATTGCTGAAAACATTTGTGTGTGATCGCAGAGGAAATTTAAGACATATTTAGCTTCATATTTGCTGAGACTCTTTAGATATCTTACAGTAAATTTAACTGAAAGTGGATTCTTTTAATGTTTAAACTCATTTTTCATTCTTAAACTTTCTTTCACAATTTGAAAAACACCGGAAATATTAAGCTATTAGATGCATACTCAAATTAGGATCTGAAGTAAAAATTTTCTAGAATGTTATTTCTCAACACTGTTGTTTTTTGTTTGGTTGGTTGGTTTGTTGCTTAGCTCCATTCACATCTCCTGTCTCTAAGAGATTAGCACTCTGAGCTCCAAAATTTTATTATCTGGGCTTCTAAATTCTTCGTCTAGGTAAGATGCAGTTTCTTACCCTCCTTGTTAAGCCACTGTTGTAAATTTACAGAGATATGTAAAATACATTAATTTTCCTATGCTCTTTTTTTCTTCATTCCTAATTCTACTGTATATTATTTTCCAGAAGTGACTCTTTATTTTTGTACCATCAGGAAATTCAATCATGTCATTGCAAACTGCCAGAAACACATAAAGGAAGAGAAGTTATCACTTCAGGTTCTAATTCCTGAAGCAGTGAATTAGATACCTTTTGGTGTCACTGCATGGATATCCACTGCCACCAAACAAAAGTACAGTTTATCACTTTATGTCCTTAGCTCTACTACTACTAAGGATTTTACTGAAATAAAAATTGATATCTAGCAAAGAAATATAGGAAATATTCTCCTAATAGTCCAGGCCATTTCCTTATGACTACACTCCATAGACCTAATTTATTATTTTTCTAATACTTCAGAAATTCCAATCAGATATTATATATATATGTATGCTATTCAATTCTATTCTACTTAACCAGCATACGTTGTACGTTTGTAGGGATTTCATCCCAGATTCTCTGATTAGCATTTCCAAACAAGTAAAGCTTACAGATCCAATGTTTCATGAGTAAGGCCATTACTCTTTACCAGTGCTTTCTCATAAAGTACCGCTGTCAAACTGCAAAGAAATTCTTGGTCGTGCTCATTCATCTTTCTGACAGAGGTTGTTGCAATGTAGTTAGGGATTAAATATCAAATATAAAAGGAAATATTTTTGGAGAAAAACACCTTAACATATTATTTCCATTAGTTTAGTATATAAAACCACAGTAGTAAACTACTGAATATGCCCAGTGTACCAGGATATTAGTGTTCTTTCTAACCTTTGCAGTCTTGTCTTTTTTTATACTAAAGTGCTATGAAACAACCACAGTCATTTTTGAAGCACTTTAAATTTCTGGACTTTGCTATCTGGGGTTCAGGTTGATGGGAAGCTGATGAGACAGCAGTGTGCCTGGTAGTCAAAAGGGCCAACAGTACCTGGGGTGACTCAGGCCCAACACTGCCAGCCAGGCAAGTGAAGATATTGTCCCACTCTGCTCTGCATGGTGCAGCCTCACCTCGAGCAGTGTGCTAAGTTTTGGGCACCACAATATAGGCAGGCCTCGAAACTACTAGTATGTGTGCAAAAGAAAGCTATGAGGATGATGAAGAGTCTAGAGGGCAAAATGTATGAGGAGCAACTGAGGTCCGTTTGTTCAGCCTAAAGGAGGATGAAAGGACGCCTCGTGATGGCCTGCAGTTCCTGCTCAGAGGACTGGAGGGGCTGGCACTGAGCTCTGTTCTCTGGTGACAGCAGGACTCTGGGGAGCAGCATCAGGGAGGGGTCAGGTGAGCGTTAGGGAAAGGTTCTGCTCCAGAGAACCTTTGGCACAGGCTTCCCAGGGCAGCGGACATAGCCCTGAGCTGCTGGAGCTTAAGGAACGTTTTGACACCACTCTCAGACACAGGGCTTGAGCTTGGGTGGTGCCAGGAGCTGTGACTCGATGACCCTTGCGGGTCCCTTCCTGTAAGGCACATTCTATGCTCGTATGATTTTACTGCAGCTGTTGTAAAGGGTTTTTTCCATTTCTGCACAAATGAGATAGTACAGACTTCTGCACGGCAAATCCTGAATCCAGTGAAATCAACGACAACGTTAAGTTTAAAATCTGACTCCGACTGATAGTATTATTTTATTGCCAACTCTCACGTATCAGGAAAAAAAAAAAAAAAAGAGAAGTGGAGATTGAGTCACCGGGGCTCCCAGGCGATGAGGCCGAGCACCTCGCACCGCATCCGTCCCAGCCGAGGCGCCCGCTGCAGAGTCGGGAGACACCGCCGCCGTTCGGGCTCGCACCCGGGCCGCACGGCAGCCACCTTTCCGGCTTCCGGACGGGCGCCGCGCTCGGCTCCAAGCCTCCCGCCGAGCACCACCGACCTGCGCAGAGCAAGTGCCGCACAACCAAGAACGAAAATCGCCCGGCGCGCCGGAATCCGTGGGCCGGAAGCCGGAGCGGGCGACGGTAGCGCCGGGCCGGAAGCGGGGGCGCGTTTCTCAGCGACGACATGAGCGGGGCGCGGGAGGCGCTGCTCGCCCTGCTGCTGGCGGCTGAGCTCGCCGCCGGGGGTCCGCGCGAGGTGGCGGCTCCGCACCGAGCCTCTGCCGTCCGCGCGGTCCGCGGCGGCGCCCAGAGCCCCCTGCTCGTCGCCGGAGGTTTACCCGGCCGCCCGCCCGGCGCCGCTGGTTCGTCCCGCCTCGTCGGCGGCAGGTGGGCGGGGGCGGTGTCCCACCGCCGCGGGTTCCGGCCCGAGGGAGCTCTGGGCAGCCGCGGTGCAGCACTGTTAGCGCCGTCGCCGCGTTTGTCGCGTGCCTCCCGGGACGCGGCTCGGTTCCGCGGCGGGTCCCAAAAAAGCTCTTGGCGCCGGTAGCGAACGGCCTGCATGAAACTGGGCTTGGGCACCTCGCCGTACGGCTTTTGGTGGAAAACGGGAGGCCTTAGGAAAGAAGGATTCGTATTCGACTGGAACTGGAAAAGCAATTATGGAATGAAGGATGCTGTCAGAAGAAAGAAGTTTCAGCTACTTGGGCATAAAGAGCTGTGGGAAAGCAACATGGGTAGTAGTTGGGAAAGAAGCTGGAGGAGCTGTAATATGTGGATGCTGAACTTAACCGTTTATTGTTAAGCAGTGCCGGAATGTTTTCTGAATGTACAGAGTGGAGTGTAAATGTACATATGTGGAGTGTATCCACAGTTACTGCTGTGGGGGAGGCGGCCTTCTGAAATTGATTGCCAATGCAAATTGTACAGTGACTTGTGTGAGCGGGTTAATGGTAATACTGTTGGCATTTAGTAAGGTTAAAAGTTAAATATTGCAAGAAAATACTATTTAATTGACTTCTGGTGGATGGGGGGGTTTGTTTGCAGGTCTGTGAATCAAGTGTGTGTGGAAAAATCACTCATATTCAGAGCTAATATTCCTTACCATACTGACGACATTGCTGTCTCTGATGGACCTGATCTGTTCTGTGTGCAGCTGGATGAACGTAAGTAACTTTTCTTTCTGTTAAGCTAATTCTAATATTGCCTCTGCATAAAGGATCTGAAACTTGTGTTATAGTTGTTACAGGAACTGCGGCAGCCAAAATACTAATTAGTAAGACCATAGGGAATCATGATTCCGTCACCAAAGACAAAAAAAATAATTTTGCTCTTTTTAAGGGTGATGTCTCTCTGACTAAATGTAAAAGAGCCTGTATCAACCGCTCGTGTGGTTGAGATACCTTAGTTTGCTACCCTTAGAGCAGAAAATAAATGTTGACATTCAAAATGTACTCCTGTTATACTTTTCAGAAGGTGGTTTCTGATCATGTCTTGCATTACTTTTTTCTCTTGCTTATTTTCATACTTTCTTCTTCACTGGGATCTGTTTTTCTTGCTTTTGCAGTTTTTCTCAGTGCTCCTTTTTACTGTCTAAAGGTAGAGTTTCACATTTGTCTTAATATGATGGACAGTGTGACTGCTCACCACGTACCCAACAATTCGTCGTGACCTTGTGCCTCATGCCTAACAATCGTATGTATGTCTGGCTGAGTTAAGCAGTCAGGCTTGGTCTAGCTTTTGAAGAAAGAGACTGGTGCTGTCTTGTTTTCAGCTGGGATACAGCTCATTTTCTTGCTAGTGGCTGATAGGATGCTGTGTTTGGATATAAAGTGAAAATACTGTTAATAACAGGCTAGCATTTCAGTTGTTGGTTAACAGTGTTTACCTTGAGTCTTGGCTTTTTATGCTGCCTTGCTATCCAGCATTAGGAGGCTGGGAGTGCACTAGAAACTGAAGACAGCTGACCCAAATCACCTGAAGGGGTATTCCATACCATGTTGCATCATGCTGAACAGTAAAACTGGGGGAGAAGTTAGTCAGATAAATATAGTTGGCCAACTATTTATCTCAGCTAATGAGTTCTAAATTTCTCACAGTTCAATCTTTTCCGATTCTCTCCTCCATCTCACTGCAGGAAGGGGTGAGTGAATAGCTTTGTGGTGCTTGCTAGGCAAGCAAGTGGTAAGAAAGCTGTTCTAGTTACCTATTTTTGTAAAACTTATATGGAACTTACTATTCCTTGGGCCTCTGAGCAGGTACGCTCTTTGCTGAGTAAAAAAGTGGCTAGATGGCCAGGCTTAGAGAGTGGTAGTGAATAGAGTTAAATCCAGATAGCAACCAATCACTAGTGTGCTGTTCACCAGTGGGTCAGTATTGGGGCTGCCTTGTTTAATATCTTTATTGATTATCTGGACAAGAGGATTGAGTGCACTTTCAGTAAATGTGCAGATGATACCAAGTCAATCTGCTTGAGAGTAGGGAGACCCTAGCAAAGGGATCTGGATAGGCTGAACTGATGGTCTTGTTAAAGCTCATATAACTGGACTCAACCCAAGTGCAAGGTCTTGCACTTCAGTCACAACATGCATTGCTACAGGCTTGGGCAGAGTGGCTGGAAAGCTGTGTGGAGAAAAAGGATCTTGGGGTGTTAGTTGACAGCAAGCTGAACATGAGCCAGCACCATGCTCCAGTGGCCAAGAAGGCTGATGGAATCCTGGCTTGCATCAGAAATAGTGCAGTCAGCAAAGCAGGGAGGGGATTGTCCCTCTGTCATCTTGAGTGCTTTATTCAGTTCTTGGCCCCTCACTAGAAAAAGGCATTGAGGCCCTGGATCATGTCCAGAGAAGGGCAATGAAACTGTGAGGGGTTTGGAGCACAGGTCTTATGAGGAGTGGCTGAGGGAACTGGGACTGTGTAGCCTCTTTTCCCAGGTAACAGCAATAGGATGACAGGCAATAGCTTCAAGTTGTGCCAGGGGAGGTTTGAGTTGGATGTAAGGAAAACTTTATTTTCCAAGAGTGGTGATGCATTAGAACAGACTGCCCAGGGAGGTGGTGGAGTCACCATCCTTGGAAGTTTTCAAGAAGAGGGTAGATGCTGCACTGAGTTACATGGTCTAGTGTGGTCACAAGCATGGGTTTATGGTAGGTCATCTTTGTGGTCTTTCCAGCCTTATATGTTCTATGATATTTTATGTCTGTCTTCTTCAACCCCCCCCCCCCAAAAAAAAAAAAAGTTGTTTTACTAATGCTTTTTGTCAGATGTAAGAAAGCTTTTATTTGGTTGATGCTTTGTCTGTTTAAAGATTATCTACTTGGCCCTTGAACAGCAGAATTGCACAGAGAGCTTAATTTCCTTTAATTTTTTTTGTTCTTAAATCAACTGAATACCTAAGTCCTTTTTGGTACTAAACTACCTGTTGTGGGTATGATTTGGAATCTTCAATGTTTATGAAAGATGTTTTATTTGCGTGCATTAGAAAGCTTACTGGTTGAACAAGTCTATATGTTGTATCATTAATCATTTGCTATTTAGAGACGTAGTGTTTTAGCAGTAATAATTTAATATAGCATTGTAACAGTTCTGAATATCAATGGGCAAGGAAGATATCACTCTGAGATATGAGTAGGAGTTTGTCTTTTAAGGATGTCTATTCACTGTTTATACTTTAAAGTTTGTTCAACATTATTTTTAATCAATTTAATGTTCTTGCTGATTTCACATACTAATAGTGTTTTGACATAAAAATGTCAGATGAGTGTAACTTGGACACTTCACAAAACGGAGAGCACATATTAGGACAGTTGTCTTAAATAATTTTCATTATTTCACTAGATCACATTTGTATATTAACACGTTTTTCATGAAACATTACAAATTACTACTCGTTATGTCATCTTGTTCATAGCTGGTATTACCCTGTGTAGGGAACCTGTTGGGTTACAGCATTAGCTGGTGACTGAGCACCTGAAGTGGTGTACCTGGCCTTGGGAGCACAGGCAGATAGTTTGCAGCTGTGCTTCCCAAGAGACCAGAAGGGGTGGACCCAGGGTGGAGCTACCCTAGCTCATGTAATGACTGAAGGAAGAGTGTCTCTTGGACCTAGGCTGCTTCCTGGGAAGGAGTGCTGTATAGCCAGCGATCTCCTTCACCAGTTGGGTGAGTTCATCTCTTCTTTCTGTATGTGCCTATTGGCCTACTTCTGATATGCTTAGTGAATACTTTGCTTGGTATCGCCAAGAACCTGTCAGAAGCAATTTCTCTTCTTCATGAGTAGAGCACCCTGTTAGCAATTAATTGATATATGGCACTATATAGCTTAAAACTATATAGCCAGAAATTAATGAAATCGTCACTTTTAAAATATTGGAATGTTTACTTTTCCTTAGAATTCTTTTCTAGTAATTTGAATGTTGATGGATTTTTTTTTTCCAACCTTTAGCAAAACTGAACTATTTCCAACAGCCAAGGTGCACCAAAGAATCTGATTTTCTGAAGCTCTTGAGGAAGTATGACAGGCACTCTTTCTTAGCGCAATCACAAGTCCAGCCGTCATTCTCTGCATTTTACCGAGTGAGTTGAGAGAAAATGCCAACCGGCTTGCAGGTATACCTTGGCTGTAGCTGTCTGTAATGAGACCTAATGAGAACAAATTCAAAGGTCCTTTGTATTTTTCTACCTTTTAAACCATGTTGTATTTCAGTTCTTTTCCTTACTGTGTAAAATGCTTCTAATTAGTGTTCTTCTATTTAAAAGTTTGCACAGCCCTTTAAACAAAACTGTGTGCAGAGGAGAAGTTCAGGTTTGCCTCTTTGCCCTGATGTCATCATCTTGAACTTGCTCTTACCATTCCACAGTAATGTTTCCAAACTGTCTTTTCAGGCTGGCGATCCAATCCTAATCTACTTTGATTCGTTATCTATACTGAGTGTGCTTAGACAGCCAGTAAAAATGGGAGTCAGTGGACTTTGTGTAGATGGAAATCCAGCTGGTTAGTAAAAGAAAAGGCATTTCTGAGCTTTATGTGCTTCTGTTTTCTCTTATTTGATGTCATCTCTTAACTCAGGCTTCCTGGAAAGTGAAAGCACAAGCTGTATTCGCATGTTCACAAACCTGAGCAGGAGCTGTATCAGTGACCCTGCCCTAAATGCTGCCTCCTACTACCGTGACTTTGCAGTACTAAAGGTGTGTGTCTTATTTTTTTCCCTTTTGTTCAATGCCGTGTTTGCTTGACTTAGTGCTGTCATCCATTTCAAATTCATGTAACTTGGAAAAGGCTACTTGGTGTGTAGTATCCCCTTGATCTTGCCCTTCTTGCTAGAAATCCTGTTGAAAATGTCCCCGATCAGTGGTAAGCCATCACTTAAATGTGCTTTGTAATAATAAGCTTCAGTTATTAGAAAGTACTTAGTGCATATAACAGCTATTTCATTGATATTTCATATTTTATGGTTTAAGTACAACGCTTACATTTTAAATAGACCACTTACAAAAAATATTTTTACCTCTCTTCCATCAGCTTGATCAACAAAGTAAAGCATATTCTCAGGAAATAACGAAGGTTGTGGGGGTTTTTTTGTTTGTTTGGTTTTTTTTTTTTTTTTTTGGTTACAGTATGTTTTCTGTAAAATCCCATCTAATCCCAGTTGTCATATAAGCTTTATTTCACAGAATCACAGAATGATTGAAGTTTCTGTGCCTACTTGGTTACTGATGGCAAAACTTAATTTTTCCTCAAATAGATGCTATAGTAGGTACTTCATTCCACAAGGGAAAGCCCCAGGGACAGATAGAAGATGCTAGTAATATTTTCAGTTTGTTGACAGGGCCAGGAATAAATGCTGTCTTCTGTTCTTCTAAAAATACATTTTTTTAATAGTATATCTATATTTTTATCTATGGATGACAAGTTTTACACACCTTAAGTAAGCCAAATGACTTTTGTCACTGAAGTACCTAGGATGTATTTTGTTTGTCTTGTGATTTTTCTTGCAAACTTGGAAAATCTGTTGGTTTCTGGTGCTGTATTTTCGGCTTGTTTTTTTTTCCCTAGGTTCCAATCCATGACGCCATTGCAGAGTCCATGAAGGTCAGTCTCTTTTGCCAGTGAAAGTAACTTCTGCTTCTGAAATTAAATATTGCCAATAGCAGACTTCGTAGTAATACTTGTGGTTTGAAAACTTGAGAAGAGGGGGAACATTTGGTGTCAGAAGTAAGACTCCATGTAAGAAAGTTTCATGTTACAGACAAAAATACAGGGATATAAGGCAATGACCTTTTAAATGATTGAGCACAGATGGCACTGGAATCAGGGATTTGGCAAAAAGTCAAAGTGGCATCTGGAACAGAGTGGTCTGTTCCCAGATCACAGCTGCAGCAGGGAGGTAAATCTTGGTTGGAAAAGCAGTGGAAAAGAGTAAGACGTGTTCTTTTTAAACAGCTGTTACTCACTAATAACTTTATTCTCCAGGTAAGGATCAGCCCAATTGGACCACCTGGAGCTCCCTACATGGAAGATAACATGTGTAACAATGCTGTTTCTGAAGTATCTTGACCTTTTTATCTTAGTCTCAATGCTAACTTCAAGTTGTTACCCTATTACTTTGTCTCTGATTCTTCTCTGGATTGGACTTTCAGGTGATCTATGAGATAGAATTTAATGGTACCCATGGGATTCAGAGTGTGTCTGTCCGGTTCAAAGTGACCAGCATCTCTGGGAGCTCTGGATTCTCACTGCAGCAGCACTTCACTTTGCATTTTTGGGTCAGTGTCCCAGTCTTTCCCAGGTTGTTGTCAAGTTTGTGTTCTGTGACTTTTGACCCAATTCTGTACGGAAGAGATGAGAATAGAGCAGTGCCATAGTGCTATGGTAACACCATCTGCCGAAGAAAGTAGGAGATGCCTCTGCTCTTAAGTAAATTACACTAGTAGAATAAACTCTCTTTAAGTAAGCAACTTTGAAAGGACTGATTATTTTGATCTGGCTGGGTTGAATTAGTTTGGTTTTGGTTGGTTTATGTTAAGTTACTTGTATTGGTTGTTTTTGGTGGGCAGAAGAGGAGAGAGAGGGTCAGGGTCATCAGCACAGTATCAGGATATATATATCAGAATATATAACTACCAGAAAGGAAAAGGTTGGAGCTAATACTGTGTCTGGGATGTTCAGTGTTTGTGAACAAAATTGGTAGGTTTATTCCAGGTACTGAACTTTGTGCAGTGGGAATGAGATTTACTTTGGAGGGGGTTGACTGCTGGGAGACAGTAATGTGTTCTGATGTTTATAAACTTTCTCCTATAGAGACAATGCAAAGTTGGATAAACGGTGCCCCACAGGAGTTAACAAGTGTGCAGTGCAACCTTGCTGAATTTATTCTGTCAAAGTCTGTCTCCATAAAGTGATTTAGAGGTGGTGTCTCTAAGAATCTAGGTTTGTTCTGCAGATCATCTTTAGAATTGCCCAAGTTATTTATTTGCTTCCTTAGACAGAAATGCTGAGCAACTGACTCTCAAAAACTGCCCTGGCAGAGTCTGCACTTCAGGATAATGACATCTAGTCAGCTTGGATTGTTTGGGGTTTTTTGTTTTGTTTTCCTTGTCGTTGTTTGGTTTTGTTTACCTCCTGGACTCTGAATTAGCTTGTCAGGTAAAAAAAGACTGTTTGAAATCAAACAGTGGAGGTTCAGTAGCATATAATGTTCAGATATTCAGTCATTTAAGAAAAAAAAAAAAAAAGGGTTAAGTCTACTTTTCCAAGAATGCAAATTTATTCTCCTGAGATGAACAGATCTAATTAATACTCATGTTTTTCTCTCTCTCTCTCTTTTTTTTTTTTTTTAACATTCTTTCATGCTTTGTCACTTTTCTTTGCCTCTTTGTAGACCAGGATGCTTTCTCATACGCTGCCTAGAAGTGGAAACCCTGGTTATATCACTGGAGCACCACTACTGATTGCAAATGGAAGTGCAGTGCAGCACGTATCCTTTGTACTGTGGTGTTTTCTGTCATTGGGTTTCTTGACTTCTGTTACTATGTTGCTTGGACTTCTGAGATTGCACCTTTGCCTGTGAGGGCATACTTCAGTATAACTTTGCTGCCTGCAATAAGCTTTTTGGTCAGGGCTGAATTGTAGACCTGTGATAGTATAAAGGAGGAATGTGCAGTAAGAAGATTGTTAAATACAAATTGAGTGTCCTTTGTGATCTGCTTCTTGACGTGCAGATTGTTAGATGAGCATTCTGCAGAGTGAGGGTGATGGCAGTTGCTCGCAGTTTCTGAGACACGCAGTACGATTTGGAAGCAATATGAGGACTGGCTGCAAACTCAGGTAAGAACACGATCTGTGGTCACCCTTCCACTCTTCCTGAAACGTCTAGGAGGCATGGAGTCACTTGGCACCTTTTTCTGTAGTTTTCACTCACTTCCGTGGAGCCAAGGTCTTTAAGACCAAGACCTCTTTAAGGTCACCCATGGTTTTAATACAGATCTTTCATATGAAACCTAAGAAAACTAGAGTGTTGGAGGGATGGTGAAATTCTAGAACAGTTTGAACGTGAGAGATGATCTAGGAAATCTTCAGGCTTTGGTCTGGCAACATCTTGCAGAGAAGAGTAAAGTTATTTGAAAAGTGAATTATAATAGAACCTTAAAAAAGGATTATTCTAATTTGGTTTATTATTTCGTTGGTGAAAGGTCAGGAAGTAATGTCAGGAAGACATTTCAGGTGAAATGTCGAAGAATACCGACAGCTTTTTAGCCATCACTGAGGTGGTAAGATGGCTAAAAAGCTGTCAGTATTCTTCGTGTTATCCTGCCATGTTGTTCACCCTTTTCTTTGCAGAAACAATTGAAAGTTGTCTCATCAGAAGAACAGAAGAAATGCTTGTTGCTGAGGAAGGCTGTTGATGCCATCTGCTTCTGTCTTGGAAAGCCCTTTAGATAAAGCTGTTACTTTTTTTTCCTCATTCTAGGCTAACTCAAGTGGAAAAAAGTAATTGCAGTTACATCCAGCTAAAGTTATATGAGGCTTTTCAGGGGATGAACCAAGCAGAGGACCTTGCTATAATTGGTAGTGCTCGTTCAAGCCAAGAAGAAGAGTGGGTGACCATTCTGATCCAGAACTGCAGTGTACAGGTAATATAAATGCAAGAAGACAATCTGAATGTCTTTTTCATATCTTTGTTTTAGTTTGAGAGGTGTGAGTAATGTTAAAAAAAAAAAAAAAAAAAAAAAAAAAAAAAAAGAACCAGCTTGTTCATCAAGGCTAGTTTTATTTGTGTGGTAATCCATTGGCTTTCAGGAGTCTTAATACTCATAAATGCTCATATTTATTAGTGTTCATATCATTAGGATATTTACTAAACAACAAAAAATTGATAGATTTAATCTCTCTTGATTCCTTGTAATGGTATTTAAATAGCCAAGAAGAGTTTAATGCTTTATCTGGTGTTATACTGGTTAATTTTCTGACTGTGTTCTAAGATTAATACAAACTGTTTATTCCAGTGATGATTCCTTTACATTCCAAAAATGATGCTTCCGTTACCATCTTTTCTGATTTTTTTTTTTTAATGTTTCTAGTGATATATAAATATTGCCAAACTAAAGCTAAGAGCTTGCAATCCGAGTGCTTATTGGGGAGGCAAATTTTGTTTTAATAATTATTCATCTATTAGAAGGTGTCCTCATAGAAGGCAAAATCCAGGTGATAGAGGTGAGAGAAATTCTGTCTGGAAATTAGATGACAGTGAGATGGATACAGCTCGAAAACAGGCAGCTGACCTGACAAGAAGTTATGGGGTTAGTCCTGAAGTGATTGAGATTCTGAGACTTTTGCTACCTGAAGTATTGAGTTTTGATCATAATGGTCCTTTTTAACATTTAAATTACTGTATTAAGATGTTTGGGTTACATTTTATTTTCAGACTGAGAATTGCAGTTCCTGTTGCATGATTCCTGTGACTCTGGATATACAGATATTGTGGACTAAGAAGGGTCTCCTGTCCAACCCACAAGCTCAAATATTGGGTGTACGGTACTTTTATCAGTGTCAATCCCTAAAGGTATGGGATTTCAAGTATTTCAAATCCTTCTCTCATATAGCAGTATGAAATGGATTCACAGATTATTTAAGAACCAAGGTATCAAGTGGTCTTGATTTTGAGGAGTTGATCTACCAAGTTTTAGAAGTGGTTTGGCTAAAGTGGCAAGAGTTTGATTTAACTGATCTGTAGAGGAAGCTGGTTTTATGGCTTTGCTGATTAATGTTCACAGTCAGTTGTACAGGTAGAAGAGGTACTTTCTTTTCAATCACAAACCACTTCAAATTAAGGAGTCAAAACCTTAAATTAAGTTCAGTGTAAAGTAAGAGTTACAAAAGTTCAGTAGCTGTGTATGTCTTGTCCCTTAAAACCTTGTGGAGCACACAAGCTGTTTCAAGAGTCCATTACAGAGCTTACCTTGGAGATGCATCTTTTGCATTAGGCATGCTGAATTCTTTCTACTTTACATTTTGTTACAGTCCCTAAGCACAAGTTTGGTGCCTTTGACAACTGTTGTTACCTTCACTGAAATGACGGAATGGCCAGAACCTCCACGTGGCCTGCCCAAAGTACACTGGAAACTCCCATTTGACTTTTTTTTTCCATTCAAGATGGTGCTGAATATTGAAAGAAGTTACAGAGATGATTTGACTGCCTACTTTGTTGTGATTCTAATATTGTCTAGTATTCTCTGCTGTTGAAGAGATTAAAATAGATGAAACCTGTATAAATTCACTTACTGAACTTTAAGTGCATTTGTGGTGTGATCCAGATTGTAAACTGTTCATCAGATTCTTATACTGTCCATCCTATCTTACGTGCTTTCTGTTGATGGATTAACGCACTTGATTAGTTTCTGTCCCATGTCTTCTCATTCTCCTGTTCTCCATATACACAATCTTTAAACCTCTTTGAAGTGAAATTCTTAAAGGAAGGGGTAATTGAGAGGTGTTGCAAGAATGAGGAGCAGGAAGGAGGAAGTTAAAATGAACTTGTTTCCAGAAACCGAGTGCTTTCAGGGAATGTAGAGAGAGGACTGGAGTTAAGACTTATATGTTGGATCATAGACTGGTTTGGGTTGGAAGGGACCCTAAAGAACTATATCTTGCTGTAGGCAGGAACACCTCCTTCTAGACCAAGTTGCTCACAGCCCCACCCAGCCTGGACTTGAATGCTCCTAGGGAGGGAGCATCCACAGTCTCATAGAATCATAGAATCACCAAGGTTGGAAAAGACCTAAAAGATCACCCAGTCCAACCGTTCACCTATTCCCAATAGCTCCTTGGTCAATCCGTTCCAGTGTCTCACCACCTTCATAATACTGAATTTCTTCCTGATATCTAGTCTAAATTGACCCTCTTCCAGTTGAAAGCCACTTCCCCTTGTCCTGTTGCTATATGCTCCTACACTAAATCCCTCCCTAGCTTTTCCGTAGGCACCTTTTGGGCCGCTAGAAGGTCTCCCTGCTGCCTTCTCTTGTGCAGCCTGAAGAGCCCCATGTCTCTCAGCCCGGCCTTGCAGGCAGGTGCTGCAGCCCTCGGATCATCTTCGTGCTCCTCCTCTGGACCCGCTCCAGCAGCTCCAGTCCTCCTTGTGTTGGGGGCCCAGAACTGGACGCAGTGCTCCAGGTGGGGTCTCCCGAGAGCAGAGCAGAGGGGCAGAATCACCTCCCTCGCCCTGCTGGTCACCCTTCTCTTGATGCAGCCCGGGATACAGTTGGCCTTCACGAGCCAGCGGTGTGCTCTCGCACCCAGTTGAATATTTCATCGAGTTTTACTCGGAGTCAGATGGAATTGGAGGCGGTCCGTTCCGCCGGGAGGAGCCGCGAGCATCCCGGGCGCAGGGTCAGGCGCCGTGCGACCGCCGCGAGCCGCCGGGCTCTGCGGAAGTGAAGCCGCCGCCTTCCTGCCGCCGTCCTGCCGCTGTCTCCCTCCTCGGGCTCGACTGCTGTCGGGCCGCCGGGGTCGCTCCCGTTTGTAACCGAACGCTCCTTCCGCCGCGGGCTCGCCTCGCGGAGCGCTCGCCCGCCTGACCGCCTGTTCTACCGGAGAGTCGCTGGCGGGAGTCCGGCCGTGTGGGCGCGGAGGGGCGGGCCTGGACCGGCCTGGAGCCTGCGTGCGCCGCGCTGCCGGAGCTCTGCGGCGGACACAGGGGGCCGCGAGCGGGTCGGGAAGCCGCGGCCGTGAGCCGCGTCTGGGTGCCGGCGCCGCGGAAGCTGGCCGGGCTGCGGAGGGAGGCGGCGGGCGCGGGGGGGTTGGGTCGTTGCCGCGTGTCGCCGAGCGCGCGGTGCCGCCGGCGCTGCGTTGCGCTGATCGCCGGCGGTCTCCGTCCGGTTCCCCTCCTGTGGTTCGGTCGGGCCCGAAGGAAGTCTCCTTGAAAACGAGCGAGTCGAGCCTTGCGACGATACAGGTACCGCCCCGTGCTGCGGGCATCTGGGCGCTCATCCTAACGGCCCTGTGAAGTTGTCTTGAGGCGCGTAGACTTTATTTTGGGCTGTTTTGGTGGCCGCAGAGCATTACTGTTATATAGAGCCAACGACAGAGTGGAACCGCTCCTGGGGCTTTTGTGAGCAGTAAATGGAGAACTACATTGGCTTCATTCATTGGGAGTTTTGGAGAAACGGAGCCGCTGCTCATCTTTGTCCAGCCTGTTTCTTTGTATGTTGCTTGGCCCTATCATGAAGATTTCTCTGAGCCCAAAGAAAAGACGTAAACCCTCCTGACACACAGATATCCAGGCTTTGGCTTTACTCCTGGTAATAAGCCTGTGTCTGTTGTATGCTATTTCATCACTCAAGATACAACAGGGTCTGAGTGGTTTTTGTTTGTTTGTTTGTTTGTTTTGTATGAGAAGAAATCTAATAGCTCTCTAAAAGGAGTGATAGGGTTATAGGTAAAGAAATCTTGATGACCAAAACTTACGCAGATTTCTTACACAGGAGGCAGTAGGGGTGGCAAAACTGATGCTTCTGGTGCTAGTGCTGTCTACCTGCCGCTTGAGCTCCGCAGCCTCAGGGAGGAACGAGAAGGTGTGCGCACTGGAAGTCTGCAGTGTTACAGATGCTGTGGAGAAGGTGAATGCTATCATAGTCGTGTAAAGCTGGAGATCAGAGGAGTGGTTACGTTTTGTTTTCTTATCGTAGCTGTGTACTGTATTTGGGAGTTGGACACAAACTGCTGTCTTACTGATTTTTGTTTTCTTTTTTTAAATTTCTGTATTAGGATTAGGTATCAGCGTAGCTTTGATAGAAAAGGAATGCCTTAATCTCCGCAGCAACAAAGGAAGAGAAAAACACATCGTTCTGAGGACAGAACAAAAAAGGAGAGGTAGGTAAGGGTAAATGTCTTAAAAACAGGGAACTAAAATGGAATACAGAGCTGAATACTTCATGGAGTCGAGAGGATAAAAATACTATTTTGAGTGGTGCTCTTCCTAGAGAAATGATAGGGCATGAACAAATCTTACTGTTGGTGAATTTCCCCTGTCTTTCTTTGCAAGAGGCTGCAGCCAGCTGGCTTACAGATTACTGTAAGACAGTAGAAGAGGTTCATTCCACAATGGGGGCTTGGATATGGAGGGTTTGAAAAAGTCTGGAACGGTGAAAAAGTGCATTTAAAGCTTCAGTAAGACATACTGGAGGAGCTGTAAGAGGCCTGAAGTGCATGGTACTAAATGTAAATGTTTATCTTTCTCCTGAAATATTGAACAAAACTACTGATTTCAGTTTGCATTTTTCAAGCTTTTCTTTCTATCCTTACATTTCTTTAGCTTCATTTGCTCCTGAACACGAGCATGTGTCCAGGTACTCAATTTGCATCTTATCTCTTAGTGACATCAGTGTTACTGTTTTAGCCATAGCTATTATAAAAATTTTATTCAGTCTCTGTTTTTTTCCCCTGAATGACTTGTAATGCTCGTACACCTTGATTTGATTGTCATAGGAAAACTGGTACAAAACTGAGATATTTTCTATCATCTTTTTATCTTTAATAGCCGATGGAGTTTTACTACTTGGTAAAGGTTTTAGAGGAAATCATTTGATTCAGATTTGATCCAGGCCAGAAAAGAGCGATGATTTCTGGAAGAAGGAAATGCTGGAAAGATGCCAACTCAACCACTGATGATTGTGCTTAAGCTATTTTCTCACGTTGCTTGCTTAGCAATCTTGTTCATAGAATTACAGAATTGCTTAGGTTGGGGGGGACCTTAAAGATCCTCTAGTTCCAATCTGCCATCCATGGCAGGTTTGCCAGCCAGTAGATCAGGCTGCCCAGACTTCCATGCAACCTGGGGAACCACAGGCTGGTGAGTCTCACCTCTGTACTTGGGAAGATCATGGAACAGATCTTCCTGGACGACATGCTTGATTGCATGAGGAATGAGTGTGTGATCCGAGACAGCCAGCACAGCTTTACCAGGGAAAACCTAACCTATCTGGTGGGCTTCTATGATGGAGTGACGGACAAAGGGAAGGTGACCAATGTTACCTGGACTTGAGCAAGGCCTTTGACACTGTCCCCCACCACATCCTTATTTCAAAACTGAAGGGATGTGGATTTGAGGGGACTATTTGCTAGGTAAGGAATTGATTAGAAGGCCTTACATAGAGGATCGTGTTGAATGGCATTATGTCCAGATGGAGGCCAGTGACAAGCAGTGTCCACCAGGGGTCTGTCTTGGGACCAGTGCTCTTTAACATCTTTATCAATTACATGGCTGACAGAATCAAGTGCAGCCTCAGCAAGTTTGCTGATGACACCCAGCTGAGTGTTGTGGTGTGGTTGACACAGTGGAAGGAAGGGATGCCATTCGGAGGGACCTCAGCAGACTTGAGAGAGGTTCAACACAGCAAGGGGCAAGGTTTTGCACTTGGGCGGGAGGAATCCCAAGCATTTATACAGACTGGAAGGAGCAGTCCTTGAGAGTAACCCTGCAGAGAAGGACTTTTCATCCATCCCTGATGGATGAAAAACTTAGCATGAGCCAGCAGTGTGCTCTTGCAGCTTGGAAAGCAAATGGGATCCTGGGCTCCATCAGAAGAAGGGTGGCCAGCAGGGACAGGGAGGTGATTGTCCCCCTCTACTCTGCCCTCATGAGGTCCCATCTGCAGTACTGTGTCCAGGTCTGGAGCCCCCAGTACAAGAAAGACAGGAAGCTGTTGGAGAGGGTCCAGAGGAGCCACAAAGATGATCAGGGGACTGGAGCACCTCCCCTACAAAGGCAAGTTGAGGGAGCTGGGCTTGTTCAGCCTGGAGAAGAGAAGGCTGCGGGGTGACCTCATTGCAGCCTGCAGTACCTAAAGGGAGCCTACAAACAGGAGGGGAAACAACTCCTGGAAAGGGCAGATAACAACAGGACAAGGGGAAATGGTTTGGAGTTGAGGGAGGGCAGATTGAGGTTGGATGTCAGGGGGAAGTTCTTTGCTATGAGTTCTTTGCTACTTTGGGCACAACAACCCCATGCAGCGCTACAGGCTTGGGGAGTGGCTGGATGACTGTGAAGAGGAAAGGGAGCTGGGGGTGTTGGTTGATGCTCGGCTGAACACGAGCCAGCAGTGTGCCCAGGTGGCCAAGAGGGCCAATGGCATCCTGGCCTGCATTAGAAATAGTGTGGCCAGCAGGAGCAGGGAGGTAATTGTCCCCTTGTACTCAGCACTGGTGAGGCTGCACCTCGAGTATTGTGTTCAGTTTTGGGCCCCTCACTACAAGAAAGACATTGAGGCCCTGGAACATGTC